AACGTTTCCTAGGTAACAACAATTCCGAGTAAACACGACGTTCCCCAGGTACACTTGTTACACTTTTTCGCCGAATGACCCTTCCTTATAGACGTATTTACGTCCAAAAAAAAAAAAAACTAGCAGATGAATAACAAATCATAAATTAAAGACGGATGTCGTTATCAGAATAAGGCATAATAAAAGTGAGAAAGATACTTGTTCGAGGAATCATATGGAATAGCAGAAGTTCGGGGGAAGATTTTATAATTTCGTAGGTGCCAGAACATGACAGAATTAACACATTTCATAGGAACGGGTGTGGTGTAACGAGAGACGATCTCGGATGTGTATTTCGTCTTTAATTTGTCGAAATGGGGCGCTGTTTTGTGGGGTGGGGGGGGGGGGGGGGGGACGCCAAATTTCCTTTTCGCCAGAAGAGTCCATTAGCGGGCGAAGTCCCCCCGGGACCGCAACCGGCTGACTAATGAGGGCAGTGTGGACACAGGGCGATGGGATTTCAGCAAACAGCGCCTGCCCGGAAGTTGGCACTGCGATTTGATTGGATTGCTCGCGTGTGTGGACACAAGACCTCGGTCCTCAGTGAAACAACGCTTCCTAGCGGTTGAATACGGTAATAATATCCCTCACAAAACACAAGAGGACGCTGTCCGTCCGCCTTCGTCTTCAGTTGCGTCCGATAGACCGAGTTGTACCCGGATCGGTTTAATAAATGTTCGTGGCGCAAACTGCCATCTGATCTGCCCTGATCTTCTGAATAATGAATCGTGGATCAAAGTTAGAAAGTGGCAGATTCCGTGGGCTGCATCAACCGGAGATCCCAACACAAAAACCTCTCAGTCTGAATAAAAGTAAAACCTACTTTGTATTTGCCCGGCCCCAACAAAGCTTAAGAAAGTCGTTAATAAAGCTTAGCGTCTCAGGGGGTGGGTGGACAAGCCGACCAGGTCGCACTCAGTCACACCCAGCCTCCGGTGGCAGAACGAGACACTCACTCGGCTTGACCCAGTGACATACTGCTCCATTTCGCTGCAGACGTACGTACGTCGTCACTTGAGGGATTCCGACCTGGCGTCTCGAAAATTACCGCTGTTATGACGACGTCGTCCGCCGAGCCAAATATTACCTCCGATACAAATTGACACCTGTCACCCGATTGGCTAGACATTCCCGTCGTCAGATGACGCCTACTGAACCAGTTATTTCGCTTTAAAAAAATCGATGTTCGAAACTCAATATGCGTTGTTCTAATTCGTAAAAGGGGGTTAATACGCCGTTTGCCCCTGAATTATTGAAAACGTCTTCGGGGGTATCCAAGGGCTGGGGAATCTGTTCCCTATTGTTTGTACGCAGACATCCTGCAAGTTGGCTTGGCGTCACGTGACAAAGTGAGTTCCACTAAGCGATTGGCACTTACCAGTCTGAATGAAAGTACGAAAGATGTCGGGTACTGCAGCGAGTGAGGATAGACCAAACGCATTTTAAAGCTTCATTTGTTCTTTTCATGTAATTAGCGGAGCAGCCGTGGTTTAGCGTCTCGAATTCAAGATCGAACACAGCAGTGACCCTCGCATATTGAATCTGCACGGAAATCCATTATTCACGCAACATTTTACAGTGAACCATTTACATGAAAGTGGATTGCGAACCACACTTTGCAAATCACTCCCCTTGTTTGAGCCATCAGGTTTCAGACCCAAATAAAATTATTCATTTTTTATTTAAACCCAGAAATGTTTCAGAAAAAAATTGTTTTCATTTTTTATCTGAGGTTTTCGCGGCGGCTAGACAGTCATCGACCTGATGATGGAGGCAGCAGGTACCTCCTGAACGTCGGTAAACGTTTACCAGAGTTCACGGCACTACAACCGATAAGGCTGCCATCTGTCGTTCGTAGATTGCATTCTCTGTTCTCTTTTTTGGACAATCTTTGATGCCAGAATGTCGTAATATTTCTGACATATTTGTTACGAATTACGAAATAATTTAAACTGGTTGCGTTCCGATGACGTCGTCACTTCAGGGCGAAATGCCGTCAGTCAAATGGCCAGAAGGGGAACAGAAATCTCGTTTTGTGTTTGGACTCGCGTTTTTACAAAATTGCCCGCCTGGTAACAGCTGCGCTGGAAGCAGCCTTGGGGGGGGCCCACGCACGAAGGGATTTCCGCCCACAGACTCCCCATATAAGCAACGAAACGTTAATAAATCGACTGCGGCCTGTCAGGTTTCAACTTCCTCTAATGCTCCACAAGAACAGATAGAATAAAAAGGTATAAAGAGAGAAATTAATATTTCAAAAGAAAATAATCGAGTCAGAAGTGTGTTGTGTGCTCAAGGTTCTACGTCTCTGTCTCCCACGCGAGACGGGCAGGGCAGCCAACCGGTCGCTCACTCCGCGACGAAGCCAAAAGCCAGCCATCTCGTACCTCAGCGCGTGAATGAATGAATTCGTGTCTTAGCCTCCGCGACAGTCACGGACTGAACCAGCTCTAGACGTATCGTAATTAAAATCTACGATTTACGTTTTTCACATTCAGACTTTCAAAAGATTATTATTTCTGAAATACTTCATTCTTTGCTTGGGTATATTTTCTCTCCGTGAGCTAAATCAGTTGGCATTAATGACGCTCTTTGAATGTCAATTGTTGAAGACGCAGAGAATTATTGTAGCTTTAGTGTGCCAAGTAACCACTTCATCTCAGCGGCAGCAGCTCTGCCCAGCTGTCATACATAACCTGTAATGGCGCAAGACAATTTATGCAGTAATCAAGCTGCTTCATACAAGTATTTAAAGTTATTTGTGCCATTAAAATCTTTAAATAAATTAATTTTAAAATAGAAGAGTGTGTTGTAGTTGTTCACGGCGGAAAGAATTTTGATATTTGGTCTTGCAGATAAAATCCGAACGATCACAACCCAGACAATTTAAAACGCAATTTCTAAGGGACTTGCAAATAATAAATATGAATTTGGGGGGAAAATATCGGATTATTTATGGGTTTGTATAGTTGATGTAGCAATCAGCTGACGCAAGGACCCGAGAAAATATAATATAGAAGTGGACATGTCGGAAGGCCCTAATACGAGATAAATGAATTTATTTTTAAAAAATATTTTAAGGCTCTGAATATGATTAAATATATTCGGAGTTTTATCCGGTAATGTTATGAACGTTATGAAATAACTACTGGCACATTTACGCTCATGAATAATGCACCTCAGAACTCCTTTGTTACTCTTGAGAAGGATGTGCGACATTTATTTGCGTCTGATTACATAATTCGCTTCAAAATACATTATTAGGTGGGCGGACGACGTGGAGCCCAGAACACTGCGCATGGTTGCCAACATGAAAAAGACGACACGAGACAAATAATGAATATTAAATGTTGATCCGCGTATAATTGTATATTAACGAAACTGATTAGACGGTTAATTCCCGCTAATGGTAATTTATCAAGCTGTGTTTACTTATATATATGGCTTATAAGTTATTTTAATGGTTAAGCTTAAAAACACTTCAATTGGTCTCAGAGGATGATGATGGTTAATTGAAGACAGACGTAGTTGCGACAAAATAAATATATAATATTTTATTATTATAGACGGTAACTTAAAATACATAATTTTAATAACATTTCTTTATATTCCACAATTTATGTAGTCAAACTTCATGCCAGTCCGCGTTTCGACTCTGTGCTTTTCGTAATTGCGTTGGTCGTGAAGTTGGAGTTCCACGATCTGTTTATCTGGGCGTCGGATCGAATTCATCGCGTTCAAGATTCGGCCAGTTGGTTCCCACCAGACGTGGTGTTAAAGAGAAAAAATTAATATATTTTTATTTTTAGAATTTATATCGACTGGAATACAAATCAGCCGCGTGTCTCAGTTGTGGTTTGACAGAAATTTGAAAATGTTTTAAGGCTCACCTCACCGTCAGGTTATTTGACTTCTGATTATCTTCACAGAGTCCGTGTTCTGTAAAGATCCACACGCAAAAAAAAAAAAAAAAAAAAAATCCATCGGTGCATCGTTTAGCGACCGTCTCCGGTCGTTGATTGCCCCTCGAGAAACCAAAACATGCAAACCTGCAATTCTGTCTTCCGGTACAGAGATGCAATTTGCCTTACAAAAAGAGGCTCGTCCTCTTCGACATAATTTGGACAAATACGGAACTCGTCCTCCTCACTGTTCGCCTTGTATGCCAAGCTGTGGAACAGCTGAAGTACACAGAACGAAATAATTTTAAACTTGCGAGCCAAATGCAGCTACGAAGAATTTCGCTGCCAGACAGATTTCAGTTGTCGTAGTTCATTGTTTTGCTTTTGGAGGAGCCACGTCAATGTAACATAACTAACGTCAAAATATGAATCGCGGCTTCCGGACTGCGACGTTGAGTAGTCTTTTATGTGTTCCGGAGGAACGCAGGGCTGAACGGCCTCAGAATTCGGAACACACGATCAAGTCACTGAATTTTGTTACCACACAGAACCCTCACTCCTTTGTTACAGTTTCTGTGTCCCTCTAAAGTGTGACCGCGTTCACCAAATAAACAGTTTTAGGCCGTCAAGGGGCCCAGACGCGTCCTTAGTCATTTGTGTGTTGTAAAGGAGTCCTCTGCGTCCGAACCAAGGTTTCGTCTTTCTTCACACCGCGTGCCCTGACCGAAGATTTGCCACCTACACACCGCGTCCTGACCATGCCTTTGTGTTCGGCGGAATTGTTTGTCCGAAAGCAGTCTTGTCCGTCTTCATAAAACGTACGCTTCCGGAACTACTGTCCTTCGTGCACTCTGTGCAGTTATCACAGACAACTGAGGTTGTACCCCAGCATGGAGGCTTATTTCGAAAATTGCTTTTCAAATTACAAACACAGTTTACGCTCTCTGACAAGGACTCGAGATGCATTGCCCCGCTGCAGAGAATCAGGTGTTCCTCTCACTTCGCTCACAAAAAACACAGCGCTCAAGATGTCTTCAGAATAAAACACAGTGGAGATGAAGAAGACGTGATTTGCAATTAGCGATAAAACAGAGAGCAAATGCTCCCTGGTCAGGCCATTCGACGGCTGGACGCATGGGGAAGTCCGCACTTCGTCGACGCGGGGCTATCACAGTCCAGTCAGGGCAGGGAAGTTCACACGGCGATGTGGCGCTTCATGTGGAGGGCCAGGTGGTCGGAGCGCGAGAACGCCCTCTCGCAGAGGCGGCACTGGAACGGGCGGTCGCCGGTGTGCTTGCGGTAGTGGCGAGTCAGCTCGTCCGAGCGCGCGAACTTCCAACCGCAGCCCTTCCAGCTGCACTGGTACGGCTTCTCGCCCGTGTGCGTGCGGAGGTGAGCCTTGAGGTGCGACGACTTGGTGTACGTCTTGGTGCACCCCGCGTATGTGCACGTGTGCGTCGTCACCTTCTTGCGCCCCCACCGTCTTCGCCCTCGCTTCGTCTTTGGAGGCGGCTGTCCTTGTTGATCGCCCGGAAGGAAGGCGGAGGGCGACGCGGTGTGCAGGTGGTGCGGATGGTGTCGGAGGTTGGCAAGGTGTGGCGATGCGGGTGGCGTCATCACCCTGATGTTGGAGAAATGGTGGTGGTGGTGATGGGAGAGGCGTTGCGACACGGGGAACTGATGGTGCATCATGTCGGGGGAATGGTGATGGTGATGGTGATGCTGCATCGCGTGGTTCGGGCTCGGGGCTCCAGGCGGTAGGAACTGGTTGTGTCTGATGACCGGTAGGTGAGTGTCGGGGCTCGCGGGCGGCGACACGTGGCTGAACGGCGTCTGCACGATCGTCATGGTGCCGTTGTATCCGTCCGAGTGGGGAGCCTGCGCCTGGTAACTCGTGTAGCTGCCGCCTTGCAGTCCCAGGTAGGAGGACGGCATGCCGTACGCGCCGTATGCAGACTCCGACTGTCCCGATGGTTCGCTCTTTATCGGGAGGTGCGGGTGGTAGTTGCCGTACTCCTGGTACTCGCCGCTGCTGTTAATGGGAGCGGGGGGGCGGCGGGGCTCCGGAATTACAGTAGTTTTGACCCTCGCCGAGCAACACGCTCTCTATGTCCTGCCACATCTGGAATCAGACACGCGCAGAATTACTTCTGTAGCCCGTCTGACGGCAACGAGGTGCCACTGTGTTAAGGTAACAAGTCCAGGAAGGCAAGCAGAGGTTTACTGGTGCGTTTTGTACAGAAGCACAATCCGAAAGACTCTGGAAAATTGGTGATTGTCTCTTGTTTCACTGAATCGTGTAATAATGTTCAACTGTCGTATAAAAGGAAGCTGTGAGCGCAAATGTGGAACAACTCCACGAAAGAAAATGCACAAGAGTTTGGCCCAAGTTTGCGCTCAAACTTCTTTTTTTTATTTTAGATGGAGTCCTCGGCTGAACGACACGAAACGCGGGTTCTGCGGAGGTTGGTCGACGTTTGCACTCTTTGCTTCGCTGAATTTGTGTGTTTTCTACTTACAATCCCGACGTTCGGGCCCGTTTCTCCGATCGTAAAGCAACCAGTAATGGATTCCATGTCTTAACATACATTCTGTAATGATTAAACGGAACAAAATTATTCACATTATAACAGCAATAACAAGGCATAATCACATAAAGATAAAAGAATTAGAAACGCGGATAATCCACAATTATTTAAACCCAGTGGTCGGTAGTTCTCACGTGAGATCATTTCGTTCAGTCGAGGTCTCCAAGCATAACAACCAGAGAGAAAGTTACTTCGGCGGTGATACACAACAGATTCGGCTTTGTACTAGTGCACATGCACGATGAAAATGCCACGTGGTGATAATGACCGCGTGCTATTTTGCTTTGTCCGAATGCGACAAACACCTTCGCCCCCCAGCGCCGCTCGCGATGAAGCCACGCAGCCCGCAAAACAGTAGTCTGACCCACATAAAGAGGGTCTTGTGTCACCCGAGAGATTCAAGAGCCCCCAGAGGCGAGTGAAACTTATTCCGCTGCACAGCGCTACCTGGAATATCCGCGATTCATATCTGAAGTTTGCATTAAAATAACAACGCGTACGTGTTTCCTTCTTATCACGGGTCTGGGTTGTAGTCAAAAGTGCCGTGAGAGTGGGTAAATAAAGACTATCAGCGCCTTATCAGTGCCATCCTTCTGAGAACGAGGCGAATGTGGGGAGGAATCCGGTCAGCTGAGAGATTTCCGTGCCCTCGGCACTGCGACGCACAAGTCCAAGGGCGCGCTGAGCTGTGTCCTGGAGGGAAATCGATCTCATGGCAGGACAAGATAAACCGCGATTTTGAGGCATTGTTTCTGTTGAAACGGCGAACTGTATCCGGAAATAATATTTCTTTTTTTAGAATTATATGAGAAAAAACAAGTGTTCAGATTGCTTAGTCAAAAGTTTTATCTTCGGAGAGTAAATTATCTCTCACTTAGAATAAATAACAACTGCCTGACTCTTAAGGAAACCACATGGTGGGTAAATTTCGTAATAGAATATCCCCCGACAGCCCCCACAAAATTTCCCTATTGACTCATCTACTTTACAGCTTAAGAAAATGTGTCACTCTTCAGAGATGTAAAATTTTGGACCTAATAAAATAGGGGGTGACCGGAGGATGGAGAAAATTCCGTCATGAGAAGCTTATTATTTTGTATTCTTATCGTAGGCGTACAGATAAAATTCAACACGATGTGGAAATGTAGCACAAATTGTAGATATGAAGAATGCAGACAAGATTTAGGTCGGAAAACGTGAGGCAGTGTTTCTGAGACGTGTCGTTCTGCGAGAACGCGCTACGCCAACAGCTCCAAGTTAGGAATCACTCTGACAGGAATTTCCTTATTGCCTTCAAAACTACGTAACAAAATCCTTTGAAAATCTCACAGGAATAGATTCATTCACGTTCAGATCTTGAACTAACTCCCTCGGGCCAGAAGGTCCTGATGCTTCAACTAGGGCGACCTTGTGTAAGTCAGCTGGAAGATTCAAAAACTTGAAAGGATTGGCCGAACGCGCCGATCAGGACTCGCTGTGTTGGTTAGCCTCCGCTCGGCTGATGCGATCTGTAGTCTGCAGGCGCGCGGAGTTGCGCCCGCAGACAGGAAGACTCCTTCCTGGCCGTGTCAGACCCCGGCGTTGTTCCCGCGGAGCCTCCGTGTCTGCCCCGGCACGTAAGGTACGTGCACAGACCGCGTATTTGAACCCCGCGCGTTTCCTGTCGTCTCCAGGAATATAATACTGTGTTCACTGCCTAAATATTTATATCTGTGGAAAGAATACGTTTGGAGGTTTAATTTTTAATAACTACCGTGTACTTTATACGACCTGGCGGGACGGCAGTGGGGACATCTGTTAGGGGTCGCCGCGTCTTGTAGCCCAATTCGTTGCCACAATCCCGGGAAGGCGAGGAGGATTAGCTCGCT